TTATCTATGGATAAAAATATGTATGTCTAAATGTCTTTAGATTAGATATTATTAGAATAACTGATTCTAATTTTTCTCGCACGTTACACGGAAAAAAGTAAATCATTAACTAAAAATTTCCAAGATCTTTGCTTATTCATAAACACGAATAGTGCATCAAAAATTAACATGAAATCAAGAATGCTAAGAGTTTAGGCATTTACGGCTTTAGATGTTAGTAAGTGCATCATTATTATTTGAGTATACCTCCAAGAACCGCGTGTACTGCAGATAAGCGTCTTCTCTTGTGATGTTTCGCGGCACCTCATTGCAACCTTACTACAAATTCAACGGAATGTCATGAAGCGCTTGGGCATGAACGATACTTCGTACCATTAGGCAGTTTATATACAGCGCTAGTCGAAAGGTCGGTAACTTGCTCATAACTCATTCGATCGGGCATCAAACGCAATACGAACTCATATAAAAGAATATAATTCAGCTTTGAAGAAAACAATAAAAACTTAGATAACACTCCGGCGTGCACAGAATCGATTCTTATAACTTTCATCATTGGTCTTTATCCGAACTTTAAGAATAGATACCGCCTAATTAGCTATTGTTGCAGCTGGCACCGCGCACTAATGAGATTTCATAATTTGCATACTAAAAATTAAGCTCATCTTTACCTCGAGACTCTTATCTCGATTATCTTTTCTACGAAATAACGAAAATGCTCCGTCATTTGCGATAATACTCTACTAAAAATAACGTAATGTACATGAAAACTCGATCCAGAACGGATATCTTTCAATATCCGTTCTTAGATAACAAACAAATATCTATGTAGAGCAAATAGTATTGGATATTTGCGGAAATACATTAAATAAAAATATAAGATACCGATTTTCTGAGACATTTCTTTCATCGTTTATTGTATCTCGTAATTGCTTTAACCAATATTTAACTTGACCGTTTTTATTTTAATTTACGAAAATATTAAATAAAATCCCACAAATATCGATCCCAACCAAAAAATTAAAAATATATGTACTTTATCTTTAAATAATTTTAATCGATTATGTTGGCGTATTATGCGTGTATGTACTCGAAAATGCAATCAATTATTTCAAAAAAGGCATGTCGATTTACCGATAAGTTAAAATAATTAAGTTTTATATTTTTCCAGAAAAATATTGTATCAAACTAAATGTACAAAAAAAAAGATCAGTATTTGTTATATATATCTACATGATACTATTTAAATAATAGTATTAAAATAATTTTCGTTAAACAAAAGATTTGATAATAAGCACTGCAGTTGCAACAGTGAGTTTCTCTTTTATTATTTCTACTATGATAACTTTAATCGTGACTTTATCAAAATCGTTTTCTAACAATCACCAGAATATCACGCCAAGAAATCGAAACGAACGATAACAGGATGTCTATTCTCAGAAAATGTCTGCTTGGAAAAAGATTTGAGACTTGTCTGATTTTTCAGACCTTCGCGCGTTCACATTTCCACGTAAAAAAACCCAGTTTTGGATATAATTTTAAAATAAATTTAATTATTATCTAGATTTCTTATTTTTTCTTTCTCGCTTGTATGATAAAGGAAAAAAGATAAGAATTACCTGTTTCAAATGCCAAATTTAAAAAAGTACTGAAAAAAAAGTAGGAAACTTTCCTAAAAATAAGAATTTCATATAGTTTTTTATATTAAGTAAGAATTTTATAAAACGTTCACCTTTTTCTTTCCAAAAAAAACAACAAAAAAAAATCTGTTATAAATATCAAAAAAAGTGTCAACGCTTAAAAATAAAGACGTATTCATTCAAACAAAACAAAATTTATCTAAAATTTTAAACAAAAAATATCTCAAAATTTAAAGATCTTATAAACAAATCTTTAGCAAGTTTAATACTTGTAATATGAAAAGAAACTTTCCGGAAAAATAATTTCGACAAAAAATGTCATAATATAAAATTCTGTAAGAGCTGCTTGAGTTTTCCAGATAAAGAATAGCTCTCTGTGAATTTCAGGTTTTCCATGTTTTTTCAAGTCGACACCCTGGATGGGAATGCAACGGTTAATCGTAGGACCTAATGCGCACGACGGAAATTTAGAAAGTCGTAGCGAGTCGTGCGCGTGTGCGCATACGACCGACCGACCGACTACTCAACACGATTCTATACGTTCGAAACCGGTTCCGAGCTTTTCGCCGGAGGGGCCCCGTGACTCGAACGTAACGACGCGTGTTCGAGAACGATAAGCTGGTGGTCACGGCGTGGCTGCTCTCTCGCGACGCAAGAAAACTTCATAAACCATTGGAACAAGCGCGCTCGCCCCACCGTATTCGTTAACTAAACGTCTTCATTCATTATACATATCGTTATACATATCGTTCCTACGTAGGTATCGTGGCGTTTAAATATCTGTTACAGTTATCAACATCACGGCGATAAAAATATGTACATCTATATCTATCGTATACAAGATGTCTTCAAATATGTAGGCTATATATTGCGTGGCAAGACTTCTTCCTTTTGAAATATATCACTTTATACATGGATGTCACAATTAATAGAAAAATTTACGAAGCTATACTTTTTTGCTTTTTATAATAACTTGAGCTCCGTTTTCATACACTTATATAATTTATTATTTACTGATATTTTTCCTGTTTAAGGATAGCTTCTCATTTTTAACATTTTTTAAATGACGACGTGTTTCGCTTTCCTCACTTTATTTTTGCAAATATTGCTCCGAAAACACTATACAATTGTTTTTAATTGATTCCGTACGATCATCTTCGTCCAAATCATGTGCCAAATCACATAATTATGTAATCTTTACTTTCTGTGCTTTCTCTGAGTTTAAAAAGATATATAGAGCCCTATTCACACCTACGGTTAAAATCACCATTACTCCGGGTTCCGAATCGACGCGGAAACTTCGCTAAACGTCAACTTCTTTCAACCTGACTCGACTTTTATCGTATATACTCGCGTCGCTCGCAAAAGCCTACAACGTCACCCAGGTCGAACTTTTGTTTGACAAATTGCTCTTGTCGGAACAACGATTGCAATCGATGGGCGCGTTGGTGAAAAAAAAAAGAAGAGAAAAGGAAAACGAAAAATGACACTCAAAATAAAAAATAAAAAAGTGGGAATATGGGCGCGCGCGCGCGCGATATCGGGCATCGTTGTTGCGTGCGTGTATTTATTTATGACAAAGGGAAAAACTAGGGATAACGCGACAACGAGGATAAACGGGCCGTTCGAGTGGCGCAGCGTCGCAGCATCATACGTTGCTTTCAACAATCAACGTACGCTACCAGCATTCCTAATTGCGGGAGAGATAACGGATTGCCGACCCCCAGTTCGGACCTTCGGCCACTCTTCGGACGACTTCGACCAAACTTGGATTAATTTAATTGACGATTATTAATTCAAAATACAGAATTGCTTACGATGACATTTCTCGCTATATAATCCGCCATCCGTCCATATCTAATTTTTATTTCCGTGTGTCAAACAAAGAATGAATAATTCTATTCAAGTTAGTAAAATATCGTACATGTAATTTGATAAGTTAATTAAGTTAATCGGTATTTGGTCAAAGTCATCCTTAGCAGGACACCGACAAATTATTAGTTCTATTCCCTTCCCTTCACTTGACGTGAAATACATTCTATCGCATTCTATGCTAGGAATTTGTGAAAAGAGAGAAAAAGAGAGAAACATTTCAAAAAGATACGGAACGTGTGTAACTCAGAAGAATAGACCTGAATTACCTCAAGTTCCATATTGCGAAGAAAGTTACACGCATGCAACAACGATGCCCGATATTGCGCGAAAGTTGTAAAACTGTATATGTATGTTTAAATTTGGAGCAGATGCGGGACTTGAAAAATTTTCTATAAAACTTAACACGTAATTAAAGCAAACACATGTAATACATTCCTATGCCTCTTATGAAATATCTGCGTAACAAAGTAATTTTTCGAGAAAGAAAAAGAATCAACTTCATATGTATATCACTATATATCATATATCACAATACGTCATGAATGTAGATATACAGATTTTTTTTGTATCATAACTCGAAACTATCTTAAATGATAGATTCTCTGAGAAATGCAGTCGAGTTTTTTTTAACAAAAATATCAAGGGAATTTTTATACACACACACGTATCATTTATCGCAACTTTCTTTTAACACCACTCTTTACTTATAACTCGAAAACCTCAATATTTTTACAAAGAAAAGATCGAATCCACGGAGAATCTATCATTAAAATTATAAGACCGCGAATTGTGGATCACTTGGTACAGTTTAATAAAATAATTGCTAATATAAAAATAATTAAATTGATAATGCATAAAGGCAAGTTCAACGATATCGAAGGTAGCTAATTTAAATACATAAAAAAATTCATAAACAAGCTCTGTAGAGCTTGACACGGATAATTTGAAACGAAAGATCACATTAAATACGACAGTTGAGCAAAGTCATAGAGCGAGAAAATAGAAGGTAAATTGAGTGCCGAGTCTGGTTTAAAAACGAGCAATTCTAAATTTGTCACGTCGCGCCGCGGCGCGTCGCGCGTCGCGCCTGTATACTTTCTACACTGCGCTGTTTCCCGCCCTGAGCCCTGAGCCGCATACGATGCCTGGGTTTCGTTAAAACCCTTTCAGTTGACCGATCTCTTCGAAACAGATTGCTTTCCATACACTTTTCGTGTTAAACAGAAGCAAACTTTACATTCTTTTATCAACACTGTCAGATTGAAAACATGGCGAAAGTCCAAACAAAATCCGATACGTCACTTCGTTAAATGCGCAAAGTACAGAAAATCAACAGAAAAAAAGCGTGAATGGGCAAGCTAAGCTATCGTTTGTCTCGTTTGTATCGTCGCACAGTGTGCTCCGTTTAAATCGGACCCGGCGGTAAATCGTGCGGTGTCACGGGAAGATCGACGAGCATTCCTGTCGGACAATGGAGAACAGACTTACCGAGAAGACACTGAAGACAGAGCCAATCGGATGGTCGACGAATGCGCGTCCCGAGTATCCCCGCCGGCCTCGCTACCAAGCGATCACCCGCAGCAAAAGTCCCCAAAGAAACACTCTTTCCCGGCGTAAAACTACCGCGTGCGAGGGTCTCGAGTCTCGACAGGGTCCAGTTTCGTCGTGCGACGAAGGAGCCCGCCGAGAGAACGTGTAAACCGGAGGGTGAGGGACCGTTGAACGAGGGAAGAAACTGATGGTTGGCACAATAAAGTGTAACACTAGAACACCACTCCGCCCGCCTTTTATACAGAACGCGTCACTCTCGATAACGTTCGGCAACCGCGTCACCTGCTGCGATTGCCTTTAGCCGTTTCACAATCCGGCGCGGCGGCCGCGGCGCTGCTAATGGCGCACCGCGCGAAATAAAACCAAGAAACAGAAAAGAGAAATCGCGAGCCACGCGGGCGCGTCGTACACGCAGAGTCTCCGGCCGCGCGGCGCGAAAAAACACGTACCGGACGGAACGACACACACACCACTCGCCGTTCGAATCGCAACTGCCAGCACTACCAAAGCCAAGCCAACGCCAACGGCCGCTCCGTGCTCCGACCTCCGACTCCGTCGTACCTCTCATCCCCACTCCTCACTTTCTCACTCGCCGCCGCGCCGCGCCGCACCGCGCCGGCAATGGTGCGCCTGCGCCAGCGTGCGGTCGAGAGAATGTACTCAGTACTCACTACTCACTCTCCCCCCTTCCCCCAACTATGCCGCGTCGCGTCGTCGTCGGCGCGGCCGCGGCGTCGCGCCACGTACCGCTGCTACGTTCTTCAGACTTATTTGTTGATTATTTCCTTAGTCCAGTCTAGAGAGGAGCGATGTCGAAGAATCGACGTTCCAATAATAGATTTCCAAAAATTATTATTTCTTATCTATATAATCAACAATATCTCGAAAACATCAATGATAATCGAATACGTCATCCACTTTTAAAAGTTTGATGAACTTAATTGGTCGTTAATTCGATCGATACAAGTAGTTATATAGCAAAATTACTAACTGTATAATTCGTTCTTAATTTAATCTTGATTTTCGCGTGTCAAAACTATAAAAACGAAGAGAAAAATCCAATGCGAGAAGAAAAATAAAAATTGATTTAGAATATAAATTTTCTCTTGAAATTTACATAGGTACGGCAGGATATTTAAAGAGAGAGAGAGATGTGTGCTATTAATCGGGAAACGGGACAATAATGTAATTAATTAAAATTGACTGATCATTCATAGCGGCGGAAAGCAATTGGCCATGCCCATGTGTTATCGTGTAATTCAAACAATTCGACCGAATAAATCAAACATTTAATATCGCCGCGCCCTGATAGCGTGCGCATCGTAATCCTTGATATCGCATTAAAAATATGACAACGACCGTATTACGCGACCGCGTGTCCGCAAACGAAGGGCGGGGCGGAGCGGGGGATACGCGTGCCAAGAACACCGCAGCGACCAGCGTGCGTTATATCAGTTATGTTATATCTATATGGGAGCGAGTTGCGAGTTTCTCGTTAATTTGTAATTCGAGACGAACGTTGTCCGATGCGCGTCATTTGCGTATCGGTGAAGCACTGCGTCTGCTCCGGATCGTTTAGTCTGACATAGAAGAGACCGAGAGACCCTCGTGAGCGGTTACTTTAATCGCAGCAGTTTTACCAACGTCGGTTAACGTTTGTCCGGGTGTTTATCTCTCTTTTTTCTCGGTTATTATATCATTATATTATAATATTATATTATAGTCGATACTACCAGATATAAGAAAAAAAATCGAAAATTAACTAAACGCTGACGAGAGTTAATCGGTCGATATAATCGACTACGACATAAAAGCAAAAAGAAGCGAAAAGCAGAAAGATGCGATCGCATATAGAGCTCTTTCCATTGGCCAGATTTTTCGTGCGAACCGAAACTCACGGTGATAATTCCGCTTCCGCGACGGAAGTGCGTTAGGAGACAAAGCGGTGACGCGTGCAACGTGTGCGCGTATATGTTAAACGATATAACGATATAACGTAGTTATGTGCGTGTATGCTCTCTTTCGCCACTAGTTATTTCAGACCATAATAGATGCCTATATGCACACGCGCGCGTATGTATTTGTACACGAACATGCGCTGCTATATGTACAGAGGTATGTATATGCGGGGGACCAAGACTGGACAATGAACAGCAGCATGTGGCAAAGAGCAAGCGCAAGACTGTATCGTTGCAGACTGCGCGACGCGGTGGTCAAGTCGTGGTTCACGATACGGCTACGGGCATGGTGATAATGGGGATGAGTCTTTCATTATCGTATTCTTTCATTAATTCTATCGCATATCGATCTTATTGCATCGATATCTTATCTAAAAAATACAATTTTAAACTGCTAATAATTTCTGACATCAAAAATGGGAAAAAACTACAAATCTTATAAAATCATAATTTTCGATTTCTTTTTTAGATTCTTCAAGTCTTTAATTATTTTTTTCTATTAATTATTAATTTATTTTCTTTGAATTACACAAGGAATTTAAATTTTTTAGGGTAAAAAGTTATTTTTTTTAACATTATCCTTCGCACAATCTCCAACTTGCTTGCTTGCTCATCGTGCTACGATAAATCATAATTTTCCGCAATTATCAGGCTATTATACATATTGATTACAGGTTAATGGCGTAAGGGAAATCAATCAAATGCACAATCAAATGCTTGTGCCCAATTACCGATGGTATATTTCGATTTATTACGAGAAAAATTATTCGTAATAAAGGAAATAACTATCGCGGCATAAGATTGAAGTTCGATATAGTCAATATATACAAAATATTCCAAATTATATGTAATATTTCATCTACGAATTCTTTTATTAATTTTAAGGCAATTTTTCCTATAAGCCTAAGTTTCCTGTAAGCTTAAGTGAGGATGTTATTAAAAAGTTTATTTAAAATTGAAAAGTAAAGCTTTGTTGCTCATTAACATTTCGGGAATGTGATTTATAAAGATCTATTCCTTTCCAATCATTTATAACTCGTAAGTTATTGATGCCTTGACATTTTCATAAAAGAAAAATCAACTTGAAAACGTTTGAAGGATCCACAGTCGAAAGGAAGTATAATTAATTTGAGACGCATACGATAACGAAAAAGCTGATCTCTTCCTTGAAGCGACTTAGTCTGTTCCTTGGAGGTACATCGTGGCCATTCGAGCGCGAGCTGCCGTGTAACCTGTTTTCATTTTTATCGTCGGCATCAGGTTTCAGCGCAGGTGAGTCGCGGAGGTGCCGGTCGGAGTGGTGAACCAGCCTATATACATGGCACAACGTTTTTTCTTTTTCTTTTTCTTCTTCATCGCAGAAACGCATTGACCTTCGAGACAAAGTAGTAGTGCACTGGCGACAATTCATAGACATATAAGTTATATTTTCAAAAACGATAAGAAACATGCGTATTAACGATTGAAATCTGCAATAAAGTCTGATTTTAGTTTTCTCGTTATCTTTCATTTTTTTTATCAGTCGAAGTTTACTTTTAAGCAATTTTTAATATTTTAGAAAAATATTTGTGGAAGACATTATGGAAACTATGAAATTATCCCTATTTTTCAGAAATATGGACTTGTGGGACAAGACTTTTCAATTAAAAAATTGACTTTTTTAAAATAAAAGTTTCAATAAAAATCATCAATATAGTGGCTTTTAATTTTTTGACGTTAAATATTTTTGTAATTGTTAAAAAAGGTTACAAATTCGTCCAAATACAGTCACCAACAAGCATTTAAAATTTAATAAGGAAAAGTATTGGTTTTTCAGCATTATTATTAATATTAATTACTAAGTCGATAAAATCGACTTCAAGTCCGTGCGATTGTAATAACTTTATCAATCATTTTTATATTTAATATAAAACATGTTTCTGATATATGTGTCAGCGTATTTCATCTCCGAATATTGTTCTAAATTATTTCTCAACTATCATAATATATGCATACTTAATCCACAAAATTTCTACCGTAAATATCATCCCTTCTCTTAGTCGTGAAATAAAACACGTTGCATTGATAATATGTGCTTAAACATGTAATTTACATCATAATTATACATTGTGTTAACGTTTTCCACAGGATTAGTAAAGTACTGCGCGATGATAGTACGTCCAAGTGCGATGGAAGTATAAAATTCTAAAATGACCCTTTTTATTCGGGTATATGTATCTATAGCGGTGTTTCTACGCTTTCTACGCGATCTTATACAAAGAAACAAATGTCATTATTTCCCTAATTATGTTCTTAAAGCTAAATAAACGACGATTCCGATATTTGTTTCAGGACAAGCTTTCCTTCTCTTTCTTCCGTTTCCTCTCAAATGTACGCGTTTACAGTAAAGTTCCTCGCATTCATCTATGTATAGCTTCTCTTCTCACAATGTCTCCCTCTTACTTTTACCTTCAACAATCACATCACAGCTATAATCTTCGCTATCAAAATGCGTTTTTTGTCCTTAAACGGATTCTCCCCTTTGTAAGTACATTAGACACGACCGAAGAGAACATCGAATACGCGTAATGTTATTTTTTTCTTATTACTTAGTTTACACGCTACTATGTACAGTTACGAATATCAACGCATCGTGAATCCGCGGTGCTCGCTTCAAACGTCAAGTATCGAGAGTACCAGTTTCTTTCCGGACGACGCGATCATGAAAGACGGTAGTACTGTTCAAAACCGGTCGATCACTTGCGAGCGCGTGAAGGAGAGGGACAGCGAAGAAACGCGAGCAAAAGTAAGAGAGAAAGGGAGAGAGAGAAAAAGAAGAGAGAGGGAGAGACGTAATTTAAGCTAAAAATTAAGAGAAAAAAGTACAAAAAGGAGAGAATTCAGGTATATCGAAATCGATGCGTACTGTACAAATCTCTCTGATAAACAACAACATAATTCGATCCTTATTGCGAGTTTTATCTCTTAACTTTTTAAATTAATCACTGAAATTGAGATCGCAAATAAAAATAGCGATCAAAATAGTGACAGTTATATAGAAATCGGTTGGGAGTAAAAGAAGTAAAAACTCATGCACAATGGTATCGCGAGGTATGGAGTACATTTTGAATAATATAAATTGCGATGCGATAACAGGAACTAGGACACAAGACCGGCTCTAAGTTTTCTGCCGCTTCGAACAATTTTCTGCCATTTTTATCTGCTCCCATTTCCTCCATTCCTATATTTTTCTTAATAATATTTTTGTAGATTTTTATCGATATCTATACATTGCACTAATATCTGCGGATTTTAATAAAGATGTACCAGAACACATAATCGAAATGCTGCATTGAAAGTTTGTCGCCCGACTATAAAATGTTCTGTAATTGGAAAAGAAGTGGACACCTCGTTATTTCTTATGAAATCTAGAGCAATGTTTTTAGCAAAAATGTTTCTTATTTCTACATTCGATATTTTCGGTAGCCAAATTTCAACTTAGATTTCTTAAAGAAGATCTATTTCAAACTGAATAATGATATAAATCAGATTACTTATTTTAATAAATCTTTTTATACTCAACAACGTTACTTATTCACATCGCTGCAGTTTAATTCGCGAGGAGTCCGTAATGACACATAATTCGGAAACTATTAACGCTATAATATTTTCATCAAATAAAAAAATCGATATCTAAATTTCACCAGAAATATATATGCTCGTTTTTTTACGTCTATTTTTTGAATTTAGAATATTGCAAGCGTATCTTACAGATACTTGTTTTACTCATTTCTACAGCCGGCCCTGTTAATATATATGTATATGTATATGTATGTATGTATACATATATATGTTCCGTGCAAAACGAAGGAGATTGGACAACACAAACAGAATGGTGGTTTTAAAGTAAGCATTGACTTATTGGCACCTCGTTCAACATTATGTTATCACACATCAAATGTGATAATATAATTGTCAGTCCGTCACACAATGTTAAATAGATTTTTCATTAATTTTTCATTCCTTTTAAATAAATTGGATTCAGAATTCGACATCTAACGCTAATTATGCAATATAATTATAAATACAATATTGTCGTGAAAACTGGAGACATTCAAGTAAGAATTTGATGAATACACTGCAACGAAGACAAGTGCGTGTAAAGTGTGATATTAACGCAATATTAATTTCTATTAATTTCAGAGAATGCTTTAAAACAAGTGATAATTATGAGATTTTACATGTATATGAGTAGGCTACTCAATATTGATAATAATCTGACAAATATAAATAGTGCCATTATTTTCGAGAAATACAGAGAGAAAGTATTAGTTTGTTAAACTTAAATATAACCGAATCCGTAAACGTTACACACATCTTAGAAGAATGTATAAAATATTCCTCTTTTGGCGCATTATTTTTTAATTGATAGATTTTTGGCTAATTTAAAATAGATTTTTTTCTCCGTGAAAATGTTGAAATGTTAAGCCGAATATTTCCAAATTATGAACGCTTACAAATCGATTTTATTTTAAATTTTCAACAAATACCAAGAGATTTCCGAGCATCCATTTAGATCTCTAAATATAAAAACATTAATATAATAATTTATTGTAATTAATAACAAAATATAAAAAATAAAGTCTTATTCTTAAAATGGCATGAATTGTAAAAGAAATATAAAATTATTCCTCAAGGATTTTTCAACTCAACGAAATGTGTTTAATATGTTGATATAGACCTATTATATAACAAAAGTGTAATAAAACTTGTGGTGTTTACCAAAGATTAATAAAGATTTAATTTGAGCCTCACTTGCTAAAATTCTTAGTATCTTAGCAAATTAAATCTTAGTATCACAGTTTATATGTTTCGCTCAACGTTATAATATGTATTATTCGACATGAAAAATTCTTATTTCTTACATATTGTAATACAGAATTAATTTCTTTTTATAGCGCTAAGATTCCTTATTGTGTTTTTTCCAACTTCCCAAAGTTAAAAAGAACTCTAAACTCACCAAAGAAACTGTCTCTGAAATGTCTTTTGATAAATTTATAACGCCTAGTATTTATCATTTCATAAGTAATAAAATTACATGAATATTTGAAAAATTACTCCACTAATCTAATCTATTCTTGCTTGAATGTCTTCATCATCAGATCTATTACGGATATTGGAATCACCGTGTAGATTGAACGAAGCTTTTTTGTAAAAAAGGATGCCGTGCGAAGCGTAGCAAAATCTTGCTTTTACGTAACTAAGTTATTCTCTTCTCTTCTCTTCTTCGTACGTCTGTCGCACATTTTGTTATTTTTCCACTTATAACATTTCCAACAAGTTACGAGGACATTGTGGCACAAGTAGCCTGAACGGTAAAAACCGACTTACACTTACGATGTATCACTTCCTATCTTAGTAGGTAAAATCGATCATCTTAAAACTTTTTTTCACTACGCGAACATTGGCTTCGCGATATCCGATAAACAATTTTGACAGGTAAAAAGTATCAACAATTTTATAGAATGCCTTAAAAAGTAGCAAAATTGCTTTACGCAAAAGAGTGTATCTCGCGATTATCTATGCAATTGGCATTCCACGCAACCGCCTCATACTGTCGCATATATCGATAAAGAAAAAATCGTTTATTGTATTGTATTTACATTACCGAGATATAAAAATACTAACGAGAAACGTACCTATGTAGACGAGGTCCTTCACACGCATTATCTCACTTTCTTAGAAATTAATTAATTCATAGTCAAGTTTGGCAGTAATATTGTCCCTAGCTATTTGCATTCTTATTGTTGTTGACAAGATTTTTGTCCTATTATTTAGCTTCCGACAAAGACATTCTTGCGGGACGCACTGCGTGTTCATTAATTTATCTCACTTTGCTAATTCCAAACTATTCTGTGACCACCGCGTGCTGAAACTTTTATTAGTTTGGAAGATCTCCAATTCTTCTCTCACAGGTCTTCACCATAGATATAAGAACAAATGCCCTCATTATACTGTTACAACTATCATTTATCATTACTGACATCGGGAAAACCAATCACTCACAAAAACATGCAATTTGAAAAGATTCGCATTTTCTCGCTAAACCAGATCTGCCCGAAATAAAACTTGGAAATTTCGGAAATATCTTCCTCCCCCCCTCCCGTGGATCTAATTCGGTCGTGGATAATATAAGAATGCGCGCGTGGGTGTGTGTGTGTGTGTGTGTATATATATATATTATACACACACCTACCTTACGAAAGCGTATATACGCTTTCCGCAAATAAAAGGCAAATAAAACGTTCTTTAAAAAAAATATATATATATATATATATATATATATATATATATATATGCCTTTTACAGCTAAAGAATTAAAAGCTTTAGCTAAATAAAAAACTTAACAATACTAATTTTTTAATAAATTAAGATAATGCGGATATTCAGCGAGATATCTCTTCACTGCATGCTATCAATGCTCGTCGCACTTCCCGAGGCAAAGAAATATTTTGACAACCATACGGGAATCATTGAATATCCTAACTTCAAGGAGGATAATAAAAATAATAATACTCGACACATTTGTCGCAACAACGTTCTGTAGCCTATTTTGCAAAAACAGCTTAATATCCACGCGTGTACGCAACACACAGTGTGTATATATGTAGAATAAGAATATTCAATATGCACAAGTATGCTCTCGCGGATCTAGAAATATAATAAATTTTATAAATGTATGTCGTATATATTCGCCTCTGTGTACAGTTTCTCACTAGCACGATTACAGCCCGAAGGAGTTTACCGCGCATACGGAACTGCGTCATCGCTTTACGTAAAATACGTATGGAAGAGAGAATGATGTAAAACACATGTTTGGCGTGTCGTCGAGAGTCCACGTTTCATTAACACTTCGTCTCTAAAGTCGCTCTTCTAACTTTGTCAGAGCATTCGGCGTCCAATTTTTCCTTGACTTCTGAATAACTACTACCCGAGCCTTCGGCCGACGATGTATGCGATGTATGCGGCCCGACTTCTTCCAGGGATAATATCTCTGTACCGGTGGGCGAGTAGCTCACGGTAGTCGCTTCACTTGTTGGCGACGTTACGCAGCTGTCACCTACACTCCTACTACGCAGAGTATACCGGGTCTTTTGGAACTGTTGTATGTTCAGAGATAAACTGGCCTGTATCGACGTTTTTTCCGAATGCTTCGAAAGGTTGTTCTCGGTTTGTACATCGATGTGAGATGGACTCCTCGAGCGTGGAACGTGAAGCGGACTCTCAGGATCTGCCGCTCGATCAGACGACAAAATTTTTGAGCTTGCGGCTAATCTGCTTGCGCAAGGAGAATACTTTGGCAAATTTATCGCAATTTTGTCCGCACCCACTGACAGAGACGATCGGCCGAATTTTTTCAATGGACTACAAGCAGGTTTTTTCTTTTTCAATTGCTTTGCGTCATTGTAGGAATCAAAGCTCTCGATAGAATCATTCTTCTCTTGTTCCTTGCACTTGTCAAGATTTCTCTTTGTTTTAGTACATGTGCAATTCCAAGGAAACTTCTTTGTGATTTCTGTAGTCTTTGCGTGGGTTGCATCGGGCTTTTTAAGCTTTGTAATATTATCGACAATTGAGATTTTATTGTAATAACGTTGCCTGCTGTCTTTATTAGTGTTAATCGAGTCCAACGCCGATTCTATGCAATTATACTTAAATCGAGATCCAGGCGACTTTTTCTCTGTAGGCTGAGTAAGAGTACCTCTACAATCAGTAATATCCTTTTTAACATCATCGGAAACATTGGAAAATGATGCGACTGATTTCTCTCCAATCGCGCATTGTCGACAATCCTCCACAAGTATATCAATCAAAGTCGTGTGAGTTCTTTGGCTATCTGTCTTTTTCTGATTTTGTCCAAATGAGTTCTTTAAGCTTCTGTGAACAATATTTTTTTGACTGTGAGCAAAGGGGTTTTTCAAATTTTTTGGTAAATAAGTATGTTTCTTGGCGATCTTTCCAGTATGATTCAATTGAAAGTTGTGACAATCGGTGGCGGCGATTTTATTCTGGCCTTTGTCCTTTGTGCACGTAGAAGAATCTTTTTTAGAGTTCTTATTCTCCGATCTCACATTGGATTTTTTCGAATTACCTTCGGCATTTGGATACTCGTCTTTGGAACGCGTTTTCTTGAATGACTCTGAATAATATGTTTCCTGATTTACAGTCGGCTGCTGTTCGCAAAAGAAGAATACATCATCTACGGAGGCAAAAGATGATTCTTCGTCACAGGGAAGGACAGGTGTCTTCTCCCCTGTGGGAGGCGACTGCTAGACAAGCTTCTCTGTTGGAGAACTTGTCGAAATGGAACTGACGGTATTAGAGTTGTTGGAAACGGTACGTCCTTGGCTGTTTGCATGCATATGGCCCCCTCCCTGTCCTCCCTGACTCTGGGAGAGGCTGAGTCGCCGTCAGTTTATCAATTCCACGCTTACAAATTGTTTCAGTCGTTCGAGGTATTGATTGTATAACTCTACATCATTGTGCCCGGCACCCTGAAAAAAATACCCAATATTAATATCATCACATTTTTAACGAAACATATATTCAATATTTTATCAATCAAAGAGTACTTATGTTTGTATTTAAATATTTTCATATGTAGTAGTCTTTATTTCAGCATATAAAAAGTATAGATAAATCGCATAAAATTGTCATAAGTAAAAAAAGCAAAAAAAAATATTAAACACTTTTAATAATATATAATATGTTATCAATTATTTCAATACCTCAACCCATAGTGGTTCCACTGCTCTTGGACATCTTTCGTAAATCGCCAGACCATGGCTAAAATTTATAACTTCGTCTTCGGTGCCATGAATAACCAGAACAGGAGATGTTACTTTCGGCACTTTATCTATGCTGCAAAGAAAAAATAACTTTTAAATATTGTTTAAATATCGTTATACAATATAATTTTTATGTTAAACAGTTTCATCTCTTTTTTCTAGTTAATGTCAAACAGATTTTACATTTTTGAAATTTTATTTGCAGGCATATCAAAATTATTTTAGATAAAAAGTTAAAATTTGCGCCAAATATATTAGCTTCTGAATATAGAAATTGTTCTAAAGATAAATCATATCTAACTTAACAAGATTGTCATTAATTTTATATAAGTTGAAAGTATATTTTTATATAGAATATGCCTATATAATTATATAAATCAATATACGTTGAGAAACAAAAAATATTACGAAAGACATTAGCTTGAAATATAATTAAAAATCCGATTTTGAATGAAATATTTTTATTCAGAATTATATTTTTTGACAAATTTTCTATTCATTTGTTTAAAAACATACTTATAGGGTAAAATAAAGCATGCGAGAAAACAAGAAAAATACAAGACAAAAGTTCCATTTGAGAAAGTTATTTATGGTAGTGTTGAAAATATCAAAGTCATGATTAGTAAAGAATTAAAATAAGTGAACTAAAGTGAGTGTATTCGTAGGATATCACAAACTTTGACAGATGAAAACAGGACTTTACAAGTGCACAAATAACTATGCAACTTTCGACGCTATCGACAAAAGGAAGATGTGTTTTTAGAATCTGTTAAGATTACAAATAAAACTTTAATTCATTGTTATGTTCAACAGTCATCGAAAAAGTGGCATCAATGTGCAAAATTGGATACACTTGCAACCCAAAATCATCTTTGAAGAAAATATAAGACTTAAATTAAAAAAAAATACCTAACTTGCAATTTCAAGGTAAATATATAGAATAATAATGTGTTATTTAAAATAAAGTATTTTGTATCACCAAAAAAAATAATAATAATCCAATTAATGTTTAAACCCACCTAGTATTTTAAATTTCATATATTATTGTCAATAATTCTTATAAAACCTATAAAAAGTTTATGATTCTCTCTCTCTCTCTCTCTCTCTCTCTCTCTCTCTCTCTCTCTCTCTCTCTCTCTCGTTATATTTATTGCTTTAACATCTATGTTTAAATTAATCAAATTAGATTTGTTATTTTTCCATCTTACACAAATATATAATAAGTTAATTTTGACAAAATTAAAAACAGTGAGTTATAGAACTATTAATGATACATGTAAAGTTATATTGATAATCATATTTTCGTTTTTATGTAAAAAACATAAATAATATATGAAGGGCCTCGTAAAGACCATATATAAAGCTTAAGGGCAGATTCCTTAAATTATTGAAACGAATTTTGAAACAAAAATCCTATATAGTATCAAAATATCAAAACTCTAATTAACATATTGATATAGATAATGTAAAATCTGTACAAAAATGATCAGAGAGACGCATTACGACACAAAGCGTGCAACACGTAGGTTTCATAAGTATACATCCACGTGACACAAATATACATTTATTCAACCGCACACTTGTGTAGCTTCTCGCCAAGATATTAACGATTTTACTTCGTAAGTTATTTTCCATTCCATTCAGCATTTGAATGGAAAATATGTTCTCGAGAGTTGCTAAATCTATTGACTCTATTGAAGAATAAAATAAACTTGTAAACTGTTGTAAAAAAATAAACTCTGCTACTTGATCAATAGTTTCCATAAATTTATTTCAAGTAGTTAATTAGTTATGCAAAAAAAAATAAAGATTTCGTTTATTCTTTTCAGAAACACACACACTATTCTTTCTTGTCATCTTCTTCTTCTGTATTAAATCTTAAACCACTGACACGTATTTCTACAATATTAGTAGTCATAACATGATTGTTTATAAGAAGTGTTTAATTGTACATTGTAAATTACATACTTAAAAAAAAGTTTTAAAGACAATTTTTCTTTTCCAATTGATTCATTTCATACATAAAGGTATTACAATAGAACCATTGAAAAGTAAAGATTTTACGAAATATATTTCGTGTTTTATGTTAAAGTATGTTAGATCAAAGTATAAAATATCTTGTAAACCATCTAATTTCTACCTCAAAACAGAATATAGTAAAGAACAAAACTTTGTATTAAACTATTGTATTAGTAATCAATATAATGTGACACCCTGATTATCGGTCCTGTGGCGCTGTTTTCTTAAGTTATTCTTTTAAGTTATGCTTGTCAAATGTTATAACCTTTAGGTTACAATATGGAAACTCATTTCTAGACGTTTTATGTCTTCAGAAAAAAATAGACATTATTATATATTACATTTATTTTTACTATCACAAACATTTTTTTTAAATGTTTTGATAGTATAAATAATAGTATAAATTTCCGAAAAATAATTTGAATCAAAATGTACTGATATCACGTGCATGGCCGTACGTATATTTAAGAGAGAGAGAGAGAGAGAGAGAGAGAGAGAGAGAGAGAGAGAGAGACTTGGACGATAGTCATGCGCACGAATCCCTCTCCCATCTCGCCCGATAAAACACCTCGCGACAGCGCGACTTGAACTTCCAGTCCATATCGCCTATGGTCAAAAAATTATTTAACAGCTAGGATGATTTTTTTGCTTACCTGGTGAAAGCATCAAAGAACCAAGTTCTTTTGGTTTTCGGGAAAGCAACCCGCATCCCGGACATGAGCGGTGAATGCAGAACCACCGCGCCGACCTCGTATCTTGCAGCGAGATCGACTGTGGGCACAGTGCCGATGCTCTGGCCGTAGAGTATTATGTTCTCCGGACTGATGCCGTAACGTGTACGCAGCGCGTGCCACGCGGCGTCGATATCCGCGTAGAGGTTCTTCTCGGACGGCTTGCCGCCCGACACCCCGTAACCCGAGTAATCGTAACTGAATATATTGCAGTTTATGCGCGAGCCCAGTCCGAGGTAGAAACTCGACATCTGGCCGAGATCGACGGCATTGCCGTGGGAAAAGAGGATGGTAAAACGCGCGGTCGCCGAGCAACGTACAAATAGGCATGCTATGCGGTTGCCGCGCGACGTTCTCGTATAGAAGCCTTCCACCGACTCCTTCTCGCGCTCGGTATACTGCCACTCGGCGCGCTCCGACAGAGAAATGGAGTACTTGGAGCCCTCGTCCTCGACGAACGTGTACGTGGGTTCGGGCGGCAGGAAGGCTAATTTGTCTGCGATTCTGGACGGGCAGGGCGGACAACAGAACAGGCAACACAGTTCACTCAGACTTAACCCGTTCATCGTGTAGCACCGAACACGGCCTCGCGCACCGGCCACCGAGGACACGCACAAAACACCGTTTCGCCGTCTCTATTATCACGACTCCCTCTCGTGAAGCTTCGGCATGGAGCTGTCCGGACTCCGGAGCAATCGGATCCTACTGGGCTGAATCAAATGGAGTCGGCAGATGCCCCGAGCCCGAGACTCCGAGACACTCGTATCGCGATTCGCGACTATCGCGAGATGGACACCGCGATTTTTCACCACCCTAATGAATCACCCGCGCTGTCATTTGTTATCGGTTTCCTACGAGAATCGTTCACAATGATTCAGCCATGACGGCTCGTGAAACTGACGATTTCTCTCCCACCTTTCCTCGTTCTTTCTTTCTCCTTTTCTTTTTCGTCAACGCCGTGTCCCCACTCACTCTGTCACTCTGGCGTTGCGTACTTTCATTGTGCAAGGTGAGACAAAGCGCGAGACAGAGACGGAAGTTACAATCCGCTTTGCTGGCCGCGTCACATTCTCGCTCGGCAGCTCGGATGAGCTCGGTACTCGGTCTCGGTAGTCTCGGTACTCGGTACCACCGAAGCTTCACCGATGGTTGTCGGACTTGGATGTTAGACGATGAGAGTCGATCAACTCCGATCAACTCCGATCAGCCCCAATATGCCCCTTCAATTTTTTTTAGTCACGTTTGCATTGAACTGCACGATACGGAGGATTCGCCCTGAGTAGTCGATATATATATGTAATTGAGAACAAGAATGCTGTTTTATTCTAGTACGAGGTTGAACTGCACTTGCACCGAGCTCTCCCTCTTCTCTAGTGAATATAGTGATCGACCGATTGACCAATCACTGGAGGAGAAGGCATAGCGGAGCTTCATTTCTCGTAAGAAGAAAAGGCTTGGCGCAAGTGCAGTTCTAGTTCCTACACTTGAACAGAACAACATTTCTATTTCCATTGTATGCAATATTTAAATATTCTGTTTTTATTGCCAATATTAGTTAATTGTGCCACAATTGTTTCAAAATTGATGCATTATTGCCAGTATATTTTAACATTATCAGAGTCATAGATTTTTATACTAGACTGCTCAACTTGCCACCCCATTTTTGATACCACGAATAGGGGATGCCATTGCTGGTGGCACATAACACATGTATAAATTACACGGACAGTCACTGCTTTGTGATATACTCAGATCACATTCACAGACAGTTCGCATACATGTGTATATGTGATACAAGTAATGGCGGTTCGGCGTCACTTCTGTCTCTTTCTATCATATGCGAAATAATCACAGTAAGCAAACTTGTTAGTATATAGAAGCTGTGTGAGCAGAACAAGTATTTCAATACTGCCAATATAAGACTATGTACGACACCGAACTGTGGAACCTAAAATAACTGGAAGGAGCGCACTAGCGGATCACTGGTTACCCAAGAGAGTAGACTTTTAGGTGATATTGTACGTATTCACAATCTATTGTTCAGTACAATCTTATCCAAAAATTTTTTAGATTGGTTTATTTGGATTGGATAAGTACGCAAGAGCATAATTAACCCTACGTTACTCACGTGCATAATTAACCCTACGTTACTCACGTAAGGCGTTAAATACACCTGAGCCTTAGAAATATTTATCGATTAAATGTTGCGCAAATTGTTTCATAATTAAAAAAGGAACTTTTGCGCTTATTTTTATTTAGAAGATATATATAGAATATTATCAACTTTTATTTAATTATAAATTATCAAAGAGAACAATGAAAATTAATTGAGATATAATTTTGGGGTGTATTTTACGCTCCATTATGCAAGTAATTACGATAAAAAGAAACACGTACGTGAGTAATAAAGGGTTAATAATTTAGTATCATTTAATTTTATTTTCTTTAAGACATTTCATATACATATACATAATGTTACACATGTGTCCATATCAGAAGATACAGTCAAAAGATACAATTTCTTTTAATGATCAATACTAATTAAACCTGTAAATATAATTCGACTTTTAGTATGTATCTACAAACAAATTTTACATACAACTTTATCATTTACGTTTTAAATGTTGATGAGCTGCATGAACTTTTTGCATTGACATGTCTTTTTGCTTGCTCATTTATCAGATATATATATGATGCTTTAAGTTTTAAATAACGTGCTATCGTATAAATGAGATTCTGTCTATGAGATTGTATAAAATAAGAACATTAAATTTGTCATTCTTTTCATTTTGATATATTATTTACAAAAAATAAGTGTTATTTTTAGAAATTTTCTTATTTGTATATTGTTATCACGTACACTAGTCTTTTATCCATTTAGATGGATTTCTCTATACTTATCTACTAACCTATCAAAAATGCATCTTATATTTATTGTTTTAACGTTGCAAATCACTCGTATAATATCAAGATTTATATATACCTAATAACACACCATTAGTTACAACATCTGAAAGACTGTTAGTTGAGTCAGCTGGGACATATGGATCACAATGAAAAGTCAAGACTGGATGATGCCCCAAAGTATTTGGATGATTATGCGTTGAACTATCTGCTGCTTTACGTATTCTTGAAAAATTAAAAATAACAAAATTAATTGCTATTATTTACTATGCTAGAATGTATCTTTCTTCTAAGTTAAATTTGGACAAATACCTTCGATGGAACGCAGCTTCTTGGCTTTCTATGCCCAGAAAATTGAGAACCTGCTGTTTTGTTGCTAATAGACTTAACATTTTTTGTATATACAATTCCAAAGCAACTCGTCGTTGTTCCAATACTTTTGGTTGCGAGTTTCTTACTCTTTTTGGTGGAAACGGTGCAATATCCGAATTATCCTTCTTCAACTGGAAAAGAATAAAAAAGAAATACAATTTTCTTATATAATATACTAATATTCAATAAATACAAGATATTTCAAAAGCGCAACTTAATATCCTAAAAAATGAAAAGTCTGTCAATGTCGATTTGTAACAAGAGTAATGATTACAATGTTATGTCATAACTAGTTCATATCCGTAACATAGTAAGCAAAATATTAGCAGCATATGCTAGCAAATTATTAATAGATTTGAACAGAAAATTATGACATTAACATTAAGTTCGTGTTCTACCAGCAGAGTTTACGGACATAAGCGGACGGCAGATTTCCAGCAGAAATTAAGCAGAATTTGTTATTTCGTAACCATTTAAATGAAATACGTCACTTAAATAACTGCAAAATGGCACTTTCTGCTCAATTTTCGCAGTCACCAGTCATATTAATGGATCTACCACCTACCACTATATCTGTTGTATTTCTGCTGGTATTCTGCTGAAAAAATTTATCGCAACATTTTGCAAACTCTTTTTGACAGACTTGACTATCCAGGATAAAATCAACAGTACGTTAAAACTCTTATGGAAGCCACAAGTTTATGACTTTTCAAGAAAATTATGCTTTATTGCCAATAAAACTTATTGCTTATTGCCAATAAACATATAATATTTTATTTATATTTATCTTCCAAGACATTGTTCCATAGTGATTTGTTTAAAAAAGTTATTTGTCTTGATTGTACAATTGATCACACACGCGAATATTTTTTTATTATATCACACAATTATCAATAATTAACATTTTCGTAACGTACCTTACGATGTAATGCACTAAATTCGCTGTATCTTCTCTCGATGAAATATCGAGTGCCAGTCTTTGACTCCAAAATCTCGATACAGTAAACATAATAGGGCTTGCCATGTGACACATCAGCTAAACGATAACCGCTAATGAAAGCTTCGTACATTGCATCGCTAACAATTTCTAGAAATAATACTTAATATAAAATGCTCGTATAAAACACGATGTAAACCAGCAGGTTCAGTTAGGAGTAACTAACTCCGAACTGATGCTGGAGATCTCACGTAGGGAAAGCCGGAGTACCTGCTCCGAATGCAAGGCTACCAACTTTAAAAAAGAAAAAATTTTTACTCTTTATATGTCACGTCTATATAGACACCAATAAATGCCAGTGTATTATTTTCGCGATACAATAATGTAATTAGCGGTGCTTGCCTTTTAGCATAACTTCGCACGTTCAACTATCATTCCCTTATAAATAATATTAAGTCACACTTTAAAAAATTGTTTTATTACATCGTTATTATTATGCAAACAGACGGTTGCTTGCTATCGTAGTCAATCACGTGATGACTGCGATCTAAATTCAAATATGTCGTCCGGTGTAATAATCCAATTGCTTGTTCATGCTTGCTCACGGTAGAAATTCGGAGGAATTTGCTGTTTGTATGACGTCTCTATGAGGCTCTACAGCAGTCCTCTTTTCTTTGAAAATGTTTTATTTATTGCTTCTTCATTATTTATCATTTATTACTTATCATCATTTTTGCGATAGAATGTATTGTTTTGTACATAATTGTTAACCTTATATTATTGCATTTTTATACAAATGAATTTAAATTTCTTAAAATTATAAGTATATACATTAATTTTTTCATCACGCCCCCTTCTCCCATCCCTACCTATCCGTATCCCTGCCTACCCGTATGCGTACTTATTGTTTTCCTACTTAAATTTCTGAAAATTTTAATATTAAGTTTCCTTCTTAAAATTATAATATTAACTAAGTTTCCTCCCATTGTTAAAAATCACACCCTCCCTATATTCCTACCTACTGATTTTTATCTAAATTTTTATCCGTATTCCTACCTACCCGTGTCTTTATCTAGTATACCTATATAACTATGCGATTAGCTGAAATTAGAAAAACGTGCGCGAATTTTTGTTTTAAATCGTGACCGTTTAAAAGTTTTATTGGGAGTTTAATTTACATGCAAAATAAAAATATTTAATTCGAAACGGCACCTTTCCGTCTCTGATTACGTGCGATCGCACGTATACAAGAAAATAGGCTCACCTTTACATGTACTTTGATTGGTGTTATACACCAACCTACCTTGTACGATCCTCTTCGTCTTCTGTCTTCTGACCAAATTAAATCGATCTTATAAAGCGTCAGATTTTACGCTTTTATATGATGCGCGAAACACGAACGCGTCACGAAGGGGCCATCATATTAATTAGATCAATCAGGTACGAAATTAACAATCAACAATAATAACAATTTTATTAGCATACAAATTAACTTTGCATTTATTTTTTACACGCGGTTTATTCTTAAAGCAATAAAGTACATAATTCTAGTAATTAAAATACATAGATCCGATTAGAAAAAAATTTGAATTTGAAAAAATGTCTACAAACAATGAAATTTTAATTTAACGTTAATTGAAATTAATTGAATAAAAATTGCTAAACATTTGACGTGTCATCAAATAGAAATCCAAGGCCCATATGCGTATTTTTATCGATTCGAACGATTCGTTGCTGAATCATGCAGAGATGAGAAATTCAGATAAATGACGTAAGATCCGAAATAAGGGATAATAAATTTTCCTCAATTAGAATCGACAATGATATCTCTTTGTGTAAACTTTGTGTGAACTTATTAAAATTATTTTTTGTATCATACATTATTTCAAAGTTAAGAATTTTTAAGTGACGCAAAACACTGATCAATTTTAAAATAATTACTAGAAAAAAATCTACTATTTCATAACGAAATATATATTGGATCTCACGTCATATATTACTATTTTAACTGATATAAAGTTTCTAGTTACCAATCATTAGGTATATAGATAAGCTATAACAGTTTAGGCTAAAGTCACTTATATAAAGTTTAATCCTGAATGAATATTTGTGATAAAAGGATAAATGGAAATAATACAATATTTTCTACACTGTAACAATCATTTTTCAATATTATGATAACAATATTATTTACTGTAATTATTTTTTGCTAATTTTTTATTTTATTATACTTTCACATTTTCTTTATTGCAAATATACACACATCTTACACTTTCTCTCTGCCGATTATAAGATATGAATATCATAAATAAATTTAGATAATTTAGCAGTAAATTATAAAAAATTTTAATTGTTACACTTTTATTTTTTCTTTAGCTTTTAATTTGTTTAATTTTTACATTTGTAAAAAAATGGTGGTGTATGAAATATATATGTATAATAAAATTAAAATTCAATAAAGTCTGATATTCGGTTCTAATATTAACCGAATAATATTATTATTTAATATGTATATATATTAATAAATAATATTCTCTATTATGTGTCCTTATGGGTATTTTCAATTTTTCGAAAAAAATCTGTCTGTGTATATAGTGTGCGCGTAAGCACTGCACTAAATTGATCAATAAATGCAAAATAAATACACTAATAAAAAGGCATCCAGGATTAAACTTATTCTAATCTGTTTCTAACTTATCCATTTTGAGGCAACGAATATATGGAATACTTCACACTTATCTACATCTTTATATTGTTATAAAATTGCGTACATTTAGATATATGGTGGTATTTATACACATACATACACACACACATATATATATATATATATACACATATGCTATTTAGATATATTTGGTATTATATGTATATATATATTTATTTATTTAATAAGGTGCCACACATCCGTTACCTCAATAAAAATGTGAATTTACTCACCGACCCCGACGCGCAACAGCGGAGTTGTATCTGCCACGTAGCTACGTTGATTCTGTAACATACAAATATAAAATTCATATTAAAACAGTGTTCAAGAAGACCAATATTTCAAAACATCATTTTTACGCGCTATTTATTTATTTATTCATCAGTCAACTATAGATACTTAATTAAATAATTATAAAAAAAAAAACTCATACAATTTTAAATTACTTCTTTTTTTCTAATTATTATTTCTAAATCATGGTTATAAATTAAACGACTCAAAATTAAATAAGAAAAAAGATTACTTTTAAACAAAATAAAAAATAATAATTACCGCTATGTTGTTCCGCTGGCGCCCGATGCCTCTCCTCTAGGCCTCCTCCTCGTCCTCTCGGGTTGTCAGGTTGAATTCCCTCGATGCGACGATGCGACCTTCTTCCGCATTATTATATACTTTCCGCACTTTATACGACACTCCCGACGTTAACCATTCGCGAGACTCTATTCTGTATTTCAAATGAACGATTAATTGAGATCAAACGAATCGTGCGAAAGTACGCAATGCGATCCAAGTTCGGCACTCCCGTCGCGTATTACTTCGATTCTTACGAGCGAATAGATATGACGTGAAATACGTACCCGCTTGAACAAATATACATCGCTTTGATACCCGCGCGAACTCAACGAGTTAGAGTTAATTGCGCGAGAGACAACTGATTTACTAATGTGCGTATATCGTATACGGTTCTGCGCTGCCTGCTGACACGGCGCGGCGCGGGCGCGAGCGCGAGCGCGGCGCGACGTGACGCGGCGACTTAATTGTTCTCGCACGGTGATTTTGCGTAAATAAGAGGCACCGAGTACAAAAAAAACAACACCGAGGCCGCGTGCCGCTCCCGATATCACTTCCTGAAACATATTTTAACACTTTCTAGATACATATTCTTCCAAAATTAGAGAAAGAGTCGCGATATCGATTGTCCCGATTCGTTCCGTGTTCACCGCTACGCGACGCGACGCAACGTTACGATAATGGCTGCGTTCGGAAACGTCACCCGAGTGTACACGAGTATACTCCCTTCTCTTTCTATCTCAGCGAGTGACGTTTCCGAACGCAGCCAATGGCGGCGAAATCTTCGAAGATGTCAGCAATTTGGCGCGATATTACGCGATACTACGCGAGTCAAGTAAACAGCTAGTAAAGACTACACGTATTCGCTTAATCAAAGATGCACGATTGAAATTGAACAGGTATCCGACGCACAGTACGGTATCGAGTATCGAGCACGTAAATCAATACCGCGGCCTTGCACAACGAGGAGTCACGACTGCGAGCCGTCAATTTCCGCGACGAAAAGTATAGATATCGAAATTACGAAGTATTCACGAACGGGCGATGTATCACGGCGTTCCGTTACTTGAATCACTCGATATACGACAATATCACTCGGCCCTCTTTTTCCGTTCAGAGTCAGAGAGAATCGGAGATAAATCGTACGACGTACGCGAAAATTCTGGCACAGCGTTCAAAGCGCGACACGAGATAAATGAATGCTACACTGCTACGATTCGAGTCCATACATATATGGCGCGGGCAGGACAAGCGATTATCGTCCGCAACTATCACAACGGAACTCGGAATTACTCACAATTGCCGTACCTTCGTCTCGATGTCTCCGCTCCGCCGACTCCGCCTCATCGGGCGAGGAAATCGCACGACAGTCGACACATCCAGATCCATTCCGATCCATTCCGATCCTTCGCGGCTCGCGGCGGATTATCGAGTCAAATCGAGTGCCCGAGCAGCCCGAGTCATAGAGATATAAGAATAGAGTGCGCGAGTCATATGCTCGCACGTAAGAGACTGCGATATAGGAATAGAAAGAGAACGCTGCATATGGGCCCCTGCTGTCTTTGTCTATGCACGCATGCGTCTTTGCGCTGCTCAGTGTCTATGGCTGCATTCCGATATTCACGTCAATACTGCAAATCTATATTTTATGTTACGTATACTATAGATTTTCAGTACCGAAAGTTGCTGACGGTGAATATCGGAATGCAGCCTATAACGCATGTAGAGATATAACCTATAATAACGCATTTATGTTCTAACCCCTTGAACCCCTTTGAAAATATATCCTTAAATAATAATTCCCAAAATTACCAAATTATTACAGCAAAGTACATAGTATTACCATAAAATATTACTTTTTTTTTAATATGGAATTGAATATGGAATTGTATATAAATATACTCAATATATATAATAATAAAACAAAATTTATTACATGTTGTTCATACAATGTTAATCATAGAATAGAATAGAATTCTAT